GAATGTGATAAGTAGTACTGCAACTAGAGTTTTTATTGGTTGAAGAATTCGTGCCGAAAAGGGAAATAGGATTTTTTAAGCATGTGTTCAAATAACATCTTTGTACACCTATGCTGCTAAATTACAAATAACCCAAAAAGATTACCAATATTCAAAGAATTGCAATGTTTATTGTATTGGCACCAAACCACATAATAAATGTTTTTACAGGTTCAGAGTATAGTTGTTACTCTCAAAGTCTTGTTGTGAACACTGTAGGATACATATATAAGCCGATAAATTACAGATCCTGTTGTTGGCATAAACATTTTAACTGATTCTAAGTGCAGTGTGATTACTCTGAATTTTCCAAGAAAACATTTTAGCATATAATATGATACATTAGACATTCTGATAGGATATAGTTTTACTGAAAACAAATGTTTGAAATGTATTTAGGAGGTTTTAAAGATTACACAAAAGAAATTTGAGATTTTTGGGATTAAGAATAGTATTTTTAATCATAACATGAAAATCACTTCCACTTCCAGTTAGTATGGTATAAGCAAATTTTGAGAGTATAATGAACGGTTGAATAACTTGATTTATAAGGTACTCGAGGATTTTTGTACACTGTTAAACTTTAAGATCAATGACTTACTAATCAAAGTCTCTGCACCACCACTAGAATTTAATCTATCACTATGATTGCTTTTACTTTTGTCTTCACTCATTATGTTGTGATTTTTTTTTCTTGTTTCTGATTTTTGCTTACTGTTTTCTCTTTAAAAAATTATAGCTTGTCTGCAGCTCTGTTTACATTACTTTGTCTTAAATTTTGCATAACTTTTTTTTTTCTAAGAATGGTTAGAACCAGCTAACAATTGTGATGGGTGTGTATACGATTAAAACAGTATAAATATTTTTAGTATTCAATGTTAATAAAAATTGATATATCATATTTATATGAATAAATCATTTGTGTCATATTTTCTTTTCAAGTATTTTTGGTTTTGAATTAATTACTAATTTTGATTGCATATAGCAGTGTTTTTATTTTATTAAATTGACACAAATTAAAAGATGATAAATTTGAATGGAAACTAGTGTATCTAGGCCATGAGCACTTGAATTTATAATATTTACAGTACCTCAATGCTGATAGCCACACTATACAAAATAGTATTTTATTATTAAAAGTTTCAGTTTAAATGCCAAAGTTGGCAGAGAATTAGAAGCCACTAGGTCTAACATTTGTGTTGATCCTGGACAAGTTAAAGAGGAATATGGAAAAAACATCTGCAGTTAACATGATTTCTATTTATTATAACTTTTAATGAGCAGTCACTTAGGTACGGTATTTCTAACCAGACTGCTCACAAAACTGTACTGCAGAGGCATGATGGTATGAGTTTACCTAGCTGGCCCACGAGTTAGTTGTTTTAGCAACCAATCAAAGAAGTTGAAGTTGAGGTCTTGTTAAGCTGATTTTCTGATAGTAGATCTGGGTGTGCTCAAATGGGTATAATAAAACCATCATGGTACTGACAAGTAAAATGCTGGATCTTGTTAATCACAATTACAGTAATCTGTACTCAGAATCTTATGGTATAAACGACTGATGCGGATGTAATACGAGTGTATCGTATTGATACTCAAGAATACGAATCTGTGAAGCTATATTAAGTATGCACTAGCAATGTTTTTCTAATGCCATCTAAGTTTTATTTGTAAAACTGCAACACTAACCAGGAATTTGGTAGTTTGGTAGCATTAGTTTGATTGTGATAGCAAGACCATGTTTAAAGTACACCACCTTGTTCCTTGTGCAGCTTCATTATGGTTTAGAGCTATGCTTTGGATCATGGTCCTATTGGAAGATGAAACCTTGACCATTAATTTCAAGTCTAACATTAGAGAGTACAGCATATCTCTGTATAATATTGAATTAATTCCCTTAACTTGTTACCATGATTCTTTAAATGTATCTTAGTCTTTTTGTAGCAATTTAGCCTCAATCCATTATATCTCCTCCTTCCCACATAGCCGTAGTTTCCAAGTTATTCTCTTTGTTATATGTAAGATAAGTATTTAGGTACATTTTGGCCACTTTAATGAATTTAAGGTTTAAATGAAAATAAGTAGTTTATGACTGTTTTATTAAATGATATACTATACATTTATTGCTATTATAACCAATAAATTTGACTATAAGTGTTTATTGTCACATCATCTCCTTTGAAAAATGTATACTTCTAAGTTTCGTATAGTAATGTATCTAATAATATGAATAGAAGACAATGAATTGAATAGTTTAAATCTGTTTTCTTTGGATTAAAGAATTATACTTATTTTTGTCACTTTTTTATTTTCAGGAGCTTTTATTTCTTGTAGAAAGTGGGTCATGGAAAGAACAGAAAGAAAGTTGTGTTGCTTTCAATATTATATTTCAAATGCTTTTCCAAGAGTGGAAAAACACCAAAGTAATGAGAAGGTAAGCTGTTGGTAATTGAATAAAGTGTCACAAACACTTTCTTTTTTACATTTGTTATCTTGGGTATTAAATTATCTTAGAATGTTTTTTAATTTAATGTTTCTACTTAGTGCTGCAATTTAGTTTTCATGTATGGATGTATTATCCAGTTTATACTTTGTTTATGCTACCCTACCAATTACATTGGCATTGGGCTTGTCTTTGTCTGTTGGGAGAGGTGATGGCTTTTGTGAGGTGGGTGGTCTTTCATGTGGCCTGAGCCTTCTTTTACTCCTGATATATCTCTGTTTATGTTTTTCATTTGTGAGAGGAGGGATCTTGCCACCTACCTTTGCTTCATTTTTATCCATATTGTTTTGATTCTACCTGAGGCTTTATTTGTCATTTCATGGCTAATTTTTACACATGTATTTTTTTCCATATTCAATTATTTTAAATAGATGGTGTACCCCCAATGTAATTTGGGTCTTACTTCCTCCAATACCTATAAAAACCAGGGCACATTACATGATGACCGACCTTATGATTCGGGCCCCAGTGTTGTGTGTTTGTATTGTGTCAACATTTTTTTTTCTTCTCTTTCATGAATTTACACTTAATTGCATTTCATCTGTGGTTTGGGTTATGCTGTGCAAGATTTGTGCTATTCGTCCTTATGATGTATTCTTTTCTTTAATTTTTAGTTTTTCTAAGTAAACAAATGTTATATATATATATATATATATATATATA